CGGGATGGTGGCCGCATTAATCTTATTGTAAGCATTAACAATGCGCCACTTCCCATTGGGCTTTTCGACACAGAAGGTCGGTGTGGTATGGGGAGATTTACTCTCACGTACCATTCCTGCCGCGTGCTTTGCACGAAAGAAGTAGTCAATGACGTCACAGTGTTCCTTCAGTAAAGGCCACTGCCGCAGTATTTAGTTCCAGTAACCAAGTCACTTTCATGACGTACACCTTTATCGGGAGGTAAGACGGACGGTGGGTTGTGACACACCACGCCCTGAAATTCCTTTATCAAAGGACAGAACGAATCAAGAGGATCTTTAAGGATCGAAGATCCACTACGGGAATCCAATGCCGCCTTTATGTCCTCAAGGACAGACTCCTCCAATAACGAGGATGGGTTCAACTCAATATCCGGCCGAATGACCGTTAACTCGGATAATTCTCCTGCCTGTAAGGCTTGGCTAAATTCGCCTCCAGACATTTCGTTTAGGACAAAGAGAGTATCCAAGGAGGGAAGAGTCTCAAGACTAATATTGCCATCCATCTGGCCAGTCCACCTGTTGACAAGTGTATATAGCATATTATTACTATTATCACTACGTGACTTCTTAGACGTTGGGCGCTTACCAGTTGCCACCCGAGGCTGAGATTTTTTCTTCAAAAGAAACCTTACGCCTCCTAGAGGCCGGGACTGTGAGGTCCCTGTGGTTGCTATCTGCTATAGCACGCTCTATGCGAGAGCTCATGTCTTGAACGACATCTGGTGAAGTGTTACGTAACTCGAACACTTCACCCAGTGGATTTACACGTACCACTTCACGTACAGCATCCGGGCCTAGCCCTGAACACTCTGGCTTCTCGCCATCAATGTCATTACCGACATTCAGTGAGGTGCCACCTCGGCCGCCCTCACTCGGTGGAATTTCACGTGCCACCCCACTCACATCAGAGGAATTACATTCTTGATGCCTCGGCCCTAGGCCAACCATACCAACAACATGCATTGACTCAGTATCAAAACGAGTATCACTCAACGGAGTATAAATTCCTTCACATACGGTGAAAGAGCTCCGCTCAATATTGATGTCATTGACATTGGAGTTAAATAAATCTGACATACCAATGTCCAGAACATTGACATCTTCCGTCAATGGCTCGCGCCAATAGCGCTTTTGTTGCCTAGTAAAGGTGGGTTCATGACTCTCTAAAGCTTCGCCAGGAACGTTGCGCGTGGCGCCGAAGGTCTTAGACCTCCAATCATTTCATGGCTCATGGCGATCAAGCCAAGCCATACCTAGGAGGAGATCATATCTCGAATATAAATTGAGGACAAGACAGCGTTCAATGCTGTCAAAGTCCAAAAACTTCACACCTAAGTTTAACGGAACTTTAGGCACCGTGACGCGACTGCCAGTCGCTAAACGAACGGTGACGATCACCTTCAAGCGCTTTGAGCGCTTCAGCATATCGCTGACTTCCCTCAAGGGAATGACGTCGAGCATAATTGCATGATTCTCCGGAGTCGATTAGGATCTACCAATGCTTCTCAAAGCCATTAATCTTCGCCTCGGCGACTAACAAGCCAGGTTTGTATCCGCGCTCTGTGCTGGTGGGCACATAGCTCGGTGGGGCTAAGCCCTATTTCACTCTACCTCGTAGAGAAGCAACATAACTCAGTTCTACCCCAATAAGGCTCCCCGCACCTACTGGGTGTCGACGTTTCCCCGTGCCATACCAGGTTTCTGGTTGTGGCTGGGGTTTCGACCCATAGGATTCGGTCGTTGCTTACGCAAAGGACAGGTGTAACGCAAGTGATTAGTGCTTCCGCACATATAACAGCGTCTCACTTCCTGACGTTTCTCGGCAACATGTAGCTCCGCTTCACCTTCATCTTCAGCATGGATAAGATCCATCGGTTCTGGCTTACAGTAAGCCGAGGTTCTCGCAGAGGTTGCCCTCGCAAAGCTTGGGTTGTACCCATTCCAACCAAGTCTGGCCGAATTGAAGTTGTGCTCAGCATTTTGAGCGATGCTAACAGCTTCCTCAAAAGTATAGGGATGGACCCGAAACACCTCGGTCCTGGCAACGCCATTACGAATACCTTCCATGAAGACAGTCACACAGACTGTCTGAAGGAGAGGGTCAGACTGCATAGCAGCCATCAGAGTTCTCAACACTTGGACATAGTCCGTTAACTCATTCGTACCCTGGCGGGTAGACAAGAAGCGTGAGCGCACGCGATAAGCCTGGTTAGGCGGCGAGAAAACTCGCAAAAGGTCTAACTTGAGCGAATCCCATGTGGGAAACGCCAAGTCGACCGACGTGCCACACGTCAAAGCCCATTCTCTAGCTCTTCCATCGAGCTTGGATATAGCCAGCGAAACCCGCTAGTACTCCAGTGAGATAAGACCAGAGCTCATGGCCATCTCAATCTCACGGATCCAGAGGGTCAAGTTTTGCCCCTCCTTCCTCGAGTAATGTTTGATGTCCCGTCGAAGGGGACGAGGCTTAGCCTCTTCATCTGGCATCGCCACGTAGCGTGTCGGCATAGACGACGCTACCTGATTTTGAACCTGCCCCAGAAGGGCCGTTTCGTACTGCATGCAGGTCTCGACTCGTGCATTGAGCACATCGGGACCATGTGCAGCTAGAAACTACACATACTCTGGGCCTACGGCCGCGGTCAGCTTATCAAACGCGACCTTTTGGGCCTCAGAGAGGGGTGTGGATTGCTCCATCCTCACAGAGGATCAGTCGTTACCGACTCAGGCGTAGATTGACTACGAGTGCTACCAAGTGTAGCGGAGCTACACAGCTCCTTAAGTCAGAGGAAGACTTAACGCTCAATGAGCAACTGTGGTTCGACGAACCCGACTCAAAGAGTCAACAGCTCCGAGAGCCAAGATTTGGTTCAAAGAACCCGACTCAAAGAGTCAACAAGCTTAGAGAGATTACGGTCCCTGTTCCAGGGGGAACAAACGATTCAAAGAATCAAACGCACTGAGTGCACAAGGAGTAGCTGCCTTAACAAGGTGTTGCTACTTCCTTACGATCGCAAGACGCCTCAGAGAGGCACGTGTCTTTTGTTGATCAAAATGGGAATTGACTTTTATTTCTTCTTTTAACCTAAAAGAACACCTTAGAACAAAGTAAATAACCTACTCACTAATGTCCTAAATAAACCTATTATAAGATCTTGTAATCAATGGTTGACATACATCAGTCTTCAACAATTGATACTTGTGTTCTAATATCACTTTAAAAGGGAATCCCATCCCTTGTGTGTACCACACCTATTGTCGACTACCAGTCGACGTGTAACCCCGTTACATTTTAGTCCGTTTGTGTCAACTCGAGACTCTTTCTGTAAGAGATCTGTTGTGTGAGCCTATCAATATACTCGGAATTGGTACGAAGAATGTAAGTGCAACCTATGTAAGCTCATATTGCGAGAAAAGAAAAGGTTTCGGTAGCCTACCACCCGAAACAGGAGAACGCTGGCGAACGGTTTTAGCTTTGATACGTCAAGAAGCGAGTATAAATCAGTCATCTGCGTGCTCATCTACTCCTATCTTTTACGGACCCCTTTCAAGCGCTGTTCGTTTCCAAATTTAGCTTGTAGTTAAGAAAACAAGTTAAGCAATCTGGGTACACTTGGCAATGCACTGATTTAACAGCAGCATGTGAAAAGTGAAGGCCAGAAGAGGTGGCGACCTGCGCTCGTTACAACCTTGACAATGTGCCAAGGTCAAGCTCTTAAAGTTGGCCGAGTTTATGCCGCTGGGAGAGGCGATAAGGGCTTGGGTGGGTGGCCATCTTGCTTGCTTGTTTGCTTGCGTGCATGGTCCTCTTGCTTGTATGCGTGCTTTACTGTCGAAGGACATTAGTCGTTTACACGGCCAATGTACAATAAAAGGTTCTACGATATAAATTAGTGGGCTCAGTAGAAGCGTTGGTCGTACAAAAGCGATGATACCGTAAACCCGTTCGCACCGCGAGAGCGACCGTCCACGTCGATGCGTCAAATCAGAAGTGTATACCCACGTGCTCGAGCTGTAAGCACCTCGACCCGTGCGGATGAACTTCCATGCATGTGCACGTACTATGTGCGCCCTACGAAAAAGTCCAGCGCGGGGAAGCTCCATCTCTATGCCTTCCGTGGGCCTGTCGGGACAATCCGCATCCGGACACTCGGGGACTGATTTCTGTCCCAGCCCAAACTGTTGGCACACTTTTTTCAGCGAAAAAGGCGAATCCAGTCGTACCCATCGCTTCAGACATGGAAGCTGCTCCAAATGCAAGCAGGCAGACGCATTTCGAGGCAGTACGTACGCACATCATCTCCGGCTAATCCAAAAGCTTTTGCTCCCTCAGTCGCTAATTTCGGTCTTCCCGTTTGCCGCAGTTTCAACCTCTCTGCAGCCGCAGTTTCGACACGCCGAAGCTTCGAAACCGCAACAATATTCGTCAATGCGCGCGTCGTGTCGAGCGGCGTCGACGTCATTTGATTTGGACTCGCCCTGTCGCCACGTGACGTGACGAGCGCTGTCGTGGGCACTTTAGTCCTCGCTGCTCTAATTGCGCGGCGAATAAGACCATGCACGTTGCGCATTGAGGGTAGTGTCCGCGCCTGCAACTTCCATCGTCGTCGTCGTCGTCCTACGACTGCGGCCCCTTTGTCACTACTATTCTGCCTCTTTGCCGTCGTCTCGTCTGTGCACCCACGACCGTCGCACCTGCAAAATAGGCCCGTTTCTGACCACATGCGAAAAATACACTCACACACTCACACACAGATGTGCAGGTAGGTATACACATGGAAAGGCGTATACTCCGCCACCACGAGGGAAGAACGGGCGCATCCATCCCCCCCAGTCGTCGGTCCCACAAGTCAATTTGTGCGACAAAGAACAACCAGCGCGCACAGACACAGACACAGACACAGACACAAGGCCCGACCCCAGAGTGCGCACCGCCTTTTCCCCACCTGCCGCCCGCCATGGACGTGGGCACGCACGTGTGGGTCAAGACCACCGACGCTGAGGTGTGGGCAGCCGGTCACGTGATGGGCTACGACGACGCCAGTGGTCTCGTGCGCGTGCGTCGCGGCGATACGGACGACGTCGTGACCTGTGCGTCGTGTACCCGTCTTTTCGCTTACGTTGCGCACTGGAACCACTCGTGTTGCCCTACCCCAGACTGACTATCTCTCTCTCTGCTGTGTTGTTGTTGTTGCTGTTGCTGTTGTTGTGGTGTCGTCAGGTCGGTACCCAAGCGACGCACCGGACGTTTGTTTGCGGAACACGTCGGTCAACTTGTCGACGACGTCGAGTCTCACGTGCCTCGAGCACCTGCACGAAGCGGCGCTCCTCCAGGCGCTGAGCGACCGCTTTGCGCACGATGCGATCTACACGTTCATTGGCGACATTCTCGTGGCGCTGAACCCGCTGAAAGCGCTCCCGACGCTCTACGCCGCGGCGCAAGTGGAGGCCTACGCACGCACGACGCAGCCGCTTTCGCCGGTCCTGTCGCGCAGTTCCAGCACAGGGGACGCACAGGCGGCGCCGCTGCCGCCCCATGTGTTTGCCATTGGCGGCAAAGCGTTTCGCGGGCTCTGGAGCGCTGCAGCCGGACGGACGAATCAGAGCATTCTAGTGAGCGGCGAAAGCGGCAGCGGCAAGACCGAGAGCACCAAGTTCCTGATGCAGTTTCTCACGAGCGTGGGACGACGTGCGTCTTGCGAGGACGCAGGCGGATCGTCGCGTGGTGGCGGCGCCGTGGACATTGGCCGGCGCATCTTGCAGACGAACCCCATTTTGGAGTCGTTCGGGAATGCGCAAACGATTCGGAACGACAATTCCAGTCGCTTTGGCAAGTTCATCAAGATCCAGTTCAATGCCGAGCACGAGATTGTCGGGGCGCAGATCGCGAGCTACTTGCTCGAGAAAGTGCGCGTGTTGCACCAGAATGTCGGGGAACGGAGTTTCCACGTGTTCTACGAGCTCCTGGAAGGCGGAGACGCTGAGCTGCTACAGACGTTGGGCCTCGAGCGGGGCGGGACCTACGAGCTGCTGCATTCGTATGGACCTGGTTTCGCTCGACAGCGAGCCATGGCGGATCGGTACGCCCATCTTTTCGTTGAGACGGTGCGGGCTTTCGAGGACTCGGGCGTTGACGAGTTGGAGCGACTAGAGATTTTCAAGATTCTAGCGGCATTGTTGCATCTTGGCAATGTCAATTTCACGCTGGCTAGTGGACAGGACGGTGCGACAGTTGTGACTGTACAGTCGCGGGTTCATTTGGAAAAGTGTGCAGCGCTTTTGGGTGTGAGCGTGGACGAATTGGAGATGTTGTTGAGCAGCCGAGAAATCAAAGCGGGCGCGGAAGTGATGGTGCTGAAACATGATCCGGGACAGGCGAAAGAGATCTGTCGATCGCTAGCAAAGGCTGTCTACGGTCGGCTTTTTACATGGCTGGTGCGCCGCCTTAGTGACGGAATCAACTACTATGACTCGGCCACGTCGATCTCGGACGAAAGCGACGAGCTGGCTACTATTGGTATTCTGGATATTTTTGGCTTCGAGAGCTTGAACAGTAACGGATTCGAGCAACTCTGCATCAATTACGCCAACGAACGACTGCAAGCACAGTTCAATGAGTTTGTGTTTGAACGCGAGCAGCAGGTGTATATCGCGGAGGGAATTGACTGGAGGAACATCTCCTACCCTAGCAATGCAGCTTGCTTGGCTCTTTTTGATGACAAGAGCAACGGCTTGTTCTCACTGCTGGACCAGGAATGTCTGATACCAAAAGGATCGAACCAGGCGCTGAGCTCAAAGCTCTATCGATATCATGGCGAGAGTGGGCCTACAGATTCGACAGGACTTCTGCAACAGCCACAACCTGCCCCGAGCACTCTACCGCTGCTTATGTCGTCGTTCAGTAAGTATTTGCACCGATCTGCGTCTCAAGAAAAAGCCGTTCTTCAGGACATGACGAAGCACACTTTCTCGGCGTCGAAGATGGAGCGTGTGAACCATCAGTTTGTGGTGCACCACTTTGCAGGACGTGTGTGCTATAACGTTGAACAGTTCATTGAGAAGAACTCGGATACACTTCCTGCTGACGCGGGCAGCATTCTGTCCTCTTCCCGAAACGAAGTGGTGAAGGCAATTGGTGCGGAGGATGACGCGGATTTACCAGGTGCAGACAACGCGTCGGCTGGACGGCGACGCTATTCCATGCTGCGGGCACCGAGTGTATCTGCGCAGTTTAAGAACCAGCTGGACCGTCTCTTGGTCCAGATCGGACGCACGGAAGCGCATTACGTCCGCTGCTTGAAGCCCAATGAGCGGAAGAGGCCCGGGCTTTTCGATCGTGAGAGGGTGGTCGAACAAATGCGCTCCGTTGGTGTGTTGGAGGCAGTCCGCATCGCGCGTCATGGATATCCTGTCCGTCTCGCGCATGCAAGCTTCATCAACCTCTTTTCAGGCTTTAAGTGTTTTTTGAGTGTGCGCGATCGCTCGATGACGAGCCACGACTTAGTGCAAGCCCTTGTGGCTGTATTGTTGGACAAAGACTTTCGCGAAGACACTGTGAACTGCGAAGAGAGAACCCCAGGCGTTCTGGCTGCTCTCACTACTCAGTCCGGTAATGGACGAGTGCTTGACCACGACAAACGCCACAAGGACGTGCAGGTGGGCAAGACGCTAGTATTTTTTCGGTCTAGCACCTACACGCGCTTTTACCGGTACCGTTTGGAGTTGCACAATAATTGTGCGACTATGCTGCAGAAGCACTACCGCGCGTACCGGTGCCGGCAACGGTTCCAAGAGCTGCGTGTCTTCGTGATACGCGTGCAGGCGATTGTCCGAGGGTTTCTTGGACGCAGGCGTGTAGACAAATTGCGTCGGTTGCGTCGAGCAAATGCTGCCACTCGTATCAAGGCATGCTGGAAGCGTTTTGCTGCGCGGCGCACGGTTGCCGGGATGCTCAAGGCCAAGCGCTACCTTACCGCGGTCAACCTCATCCAGATGCACGCCCGGCGTTTTCTGGCACAGCGGCATGCCGCAAAAATTCTGGATTACGAACGTCGGCTCGCGCAACGCAAGCATGACGACGTGCTGGAAGAGAAACAGCAGTACGCTGCTGCTAACGTCATCCAGAGGCATAGCCGGCGGTGGCTTGAAGAAAATCGGCGTGTCACGATGAAAGCTCAGCGTTTCCGACTGATGGTAGCGTTCAATAAGCTCCGCCGTGCGTGTCTGGCGTCGCCGACAACAAGTGAGGTAGAGGCTGAGCCGTCCCCTGTCGATGATGACGCGATGGCCAGTCTCGAAAGATATCCAGGACCCAAATTATTTGGCCACCAGTTGACTCAGCCGAGCTCGGAGGGGGAAGATAGTTCGACTTGCGAAGACCGGATGGAGCCCTTGATTTGTATTTCCGCTTCCACGTACCACCCTTCCAGCAGCAAGCAACGCAGTCGCGCAAACAGCAGCCACCGACGTTGCAGAAGTAGCAGCCGCGACGTAGACCGCAGCTCGCTACTGGAGAACGAGATATTGCGCTTGCAGCAGATGCTCACGGAGCATCGGAGTGGCCGCAACGGCGACCGATGGCGTCGATCGTTGACTAGCGCTTACCCACGGCGAAGTGCGCCTGCTGATGAGCACTCGATCCGAGCCCCGCTTCCACAGTCAGGGCGTCGTCGTTACTCAACCGATGGGACCTTATCTGATGATGAGGGCGGTGAGATTGACGGCAACGTGTCACTCCTGCCCCCGCGCCGTTCGCGTAGTGTGGTGCCTGGGAAGCAGCTCGACCACGTTTCCGTACTATCGCAAAAGATCGAGGAACTGGATGCAAAGTGCAAGTTCCTGGAACAGGTTGTCGCTCGCAAGAACTATGAGGAAGCGACGCGCGAGTCTTTTGCATACAGCCGGGGGTCGCTTGGCAGCAGAGAGCGCTTCTCGTCTGCGGACGGCTCATTGTGTGGTGACCACCCTTCTGTGAGCGAAGCGGGCTCGGACGTGGACTCGATCATTTTCAACATTCAAAACCAGATGGACAAGCTCCGTCAATCGATTGCAGTGAAGGAACAAGGTCTCCAGACGTCTGGTAAGTCCTGTACCATGTCGTTCTCGTCCAGCACACGGCCAACGCGCTCTTCGTCTGCTGCCTCGACGACATCGTTTCCCAACTTCCTGTTGGGCGACGTGCCACAAAGTCTATCGTCGCTTCCGCTCTCTGAGTCGCAGTTGTCAATCGGTGGATCATCCCATGCAACTAGCCGACGAAGTGGCGGTAGTTCGCTGGGGCTACCGCTAACGCCAACCTCTTCGGTAGCGTCGTCGCTTCACCAGGTGCATCCACGTTCTTCCCCCGCCCATTTTGGTGGCCCCGGCATGCCCCGCATCGTGAAGTGGGCCCGGTCGAACAACTGCTACGACTGCGATGAGCCATTCAATCTGTTCGTGCGGCGTCATCACTGCCGTATGTGCGGTAACTCGTTCTGCCACGAGCACTCGAGCCGACGCGTGTCCGTGTTCGGTATCGGCTTCGACGACGGACCAGTGCGTGTTTGTGACAAGTGCTTCCTTGAGTACTATGCAGCGTCACAGGCACCGCTTCCACCGCAGTATCCCTCGCAATACGACTTTGCAGCCAGCACAATGTCTGCGTCGTCGCGTTACAACGGCCTATAGTCGGCGAGGAGCAGAGTCTGTGTGCACCGCGCATGTAGCTTCCAGCACGGGTGGGTTTCGTCTGGTTTTGTAGTGTTTTCCGGTCGTTAAGTGAGTTGTGTTTTGGCAGAAAGATAAAGTTTGATTCACGAACAAGTGCGCTACGAACATTCTCTGCGGGGTCCCGACAGTCCGTGCGCCGTGCGATGTACAGAGTGAGCTGCACGTCTCGCAGACCTCCGCAATTGCTTCTTGTTTCTCGTGCACAGATTCTTCCTAGGAAAAAAGATGCAATGAGTTTGTCCCTAGTGAGCGGGCAGGTGGCCGGTGGAATAGACATAGTAAAGCGGAGGGTGGAACCACATGGCGTCGGTGTAATTCACTGCGAAGGTCAAACACGAGACACATAGAAGGCACAAACTAGCGCAGTATCGACAATACAAAACTAAAGGCAATATCGCATCTTCATAGCACACGGATCGGCTGTGTAGAGAGCGAAAACATCGGTTTTGCCAAGAAACGACTGAGACGGCGTTCGATAGCGTATAAGCCGACACATGCGGGATGGAAAAACGTGCGCACAAGTGCGACGACGCTATTCATCATAGTTGTAAGTGCGATAGAAAGATGAGGTGTCAATCTTGCGGTCTCGTGGCCGTCTGAAGACGCAACGATGCAGTCGAATGACTGACTGACTTTCTGGTAGCCAGAACACATTTTACCATATAATAAATTACCGGTACAAAATCAGCTGACCGTCATGCCGAGATAGAGGACAACTTCATTTTGCGTCGCTATGTCCGTCACCTCGTTGCGCATCCCCGCGGCTCTGCCGCGATGTTGCAAACGGTTCTCCGTATATTGCAAACGTAAGTTAGTGGGTTATGACTATTTGTATGCTTTGGAAACATACGAGATGGTTTCCAATCTGCTATCGACGTGATCTCTGCAAGGCGCATGGCAGATCTATTGCAAACTTATCCAACGCTGCAACCGTAGACGGAGATGGCAATGCTTTGCTACTCGCAATGCGATTCGAAGAAAGGTGATGCTGATTGACATTGGTCATAGCGCACAATAGCGAGGTCCGAATGATCAAACTAACTATAAACCCGTAATCTTTTACCAAACTGGTACATGGGCAGACCGTTTTCAGCCTTTGCAGCTGCACAGTACCTCGCGACGGCCCAAAGTGGAAGGGAAGCCGCATGCGTCTTGTCCAGCTCCCTCAATCGAAACGTTATCGAGATGTGCTTGCCCATAACGCTGGCATATTCAGGAATTTGATTTCGTAGCACCGAGCAACAGATCCAGCAATGCTCCCCTGTTTCGAGGGTGAGCGGATGCGTCATCGATAGCAGTGTCACCATTTTGCTAGTGCTTTCAGTGACCATTTACCTCCTTTGCGCAAGTCACGGACACGACGTTTGCGAGTTTGCGGTACTTGTTTCGTTGTCGTTGGCGCGTATGTAGAACGTTCCTCAAAACGGATCCTTGTCACTACTAGCGACGACGCCGTCGAACAAGTGTCGAAGAAGACGCCGAGCCTTGCAGAACGCGAAGTTGACTGAGCAAGTTGGCGAAGCGATAACTGTTCGATGGTGTCGCATGGCACTCCGTTCATCCGGAAAAAGCAATGCCAGAAATGTGGTGGCACTGACCGGCGAGACAAGTAGAGCAATTTAGCGTGCACTTGGCGAAGCACTTGAGCGTGGCACTTGTTTCAGAGCCCTTATTTGTATGTAGCATTTTGCTGTAGGCAACTTCGTTGCGTCGCTCTGTGATACGGCATGATCTGCACCATATATGTCGCGCTACCGCGCAATACCTCAATCTGTGTCTGGCACTTGTTTTGCACTTCACCGATGGATTGTGAGTTGGATGTACGAGCTGCGTGGTTTCAATACATGCTCTTGGTGCTTGAGCTTTCATTTCTTGTCTAGACCAGTAGACGCTCGTGCGATGTGGTTCATAAGTTTGAGCTGGTAAGGCTTCAGTTGCCATTATTTTCGTATGTTTACAAGACCGCTCATTCGAACCGTGACTCCTGTAAGCACATGGGTTTACAGAGACATACAGAACGGGATAAGACATTTGAGTCACGGTGGGTCGTATGCCGAGCGTAAGTTCGCGAGTGTCGATACAGCTGCACAATATCGCCACATGAATAAGTCTAGTGTATCGGTTGTTAATACCGCATCTTCGAGTTGCAAACTCGTTCTCTTTTAAACTGGACACAGCACATCATCAGGCCCGGTAAATAAGTACAACACCCTTGGCTAGTCGGTAGCTCATCTTGACAAGCAAGCGCGGAGCCAGTGCAACGACACTGCAACTGGTACAGCAGCATCGAGTGCTCTATCCAGTGGACATCTTGTAAAGTAGGTACCCAAAGCCGCAGAAAGCTCCGCATACAATCCCAACACGTGCCATTCGTAATGACAGTGTTTGTAGTTCGTGGGTCCGGTGGCGAGATATACCAGCCTACATTCCCAGTCACCACCCAATAGGTGCATTGTGCACATTGCATCCCCGCGGCAACGTGGAAATTAGTACTGCTCTAGCAAAATATCATGAGCGCGGCACGCACAGTCGACAAAAGAGCCCAAAACGAAGTCGTCACCACCGTGGAAGCACCCAGGAGTACGGGCGCATAATGTTTAAGCAAGACTCGACGGCGCGCCATGTCGATTGAGTTTTCGACGCTGTGTGGGCGCGTTGCATCCTTGAGCAGCAGTGTGAATGTCATTGCTAGTGAAATAGAGCCCATGAGAATGGCACGGTCAAGACTCGTGCAATCCACATCAGCGCTCAAAATTTTCATATTCCGATGGCCACGGGTGCGCGCACAAGTCAATGCGATACGCAACGTCGCTTCCACCGAATCAATGTATGTTTCTTGGACACCATTTGGTCCCGGTCAATGAATGTGCGTCATGTTGTACCTTGCTTGTGACGCGTTCTACTCGAAGCCTTCGATATTTCGCAATTGCATGTCACCAACAGTTGCTGGGACCACAGGGTGCCGTGTGCGTAGTGGCGTCACCCGAGACTGGCACTTCTTGCGATTCGGGTGCTGTGCCCCCGCTTCATCTATATAGACATGTATCGGGCGCAGACATGACGTCGATCCAGGTCTTGTTGCTAGATCCATTTCAGTGACGAACAGCTGACCTTCCACATCCATGTCGTAAGCGAAGCGTAAATACTCTGCAGGCTCGTCGGATGAAGTCTCGATGCATCAGGCGTTGCGAGGATACGTCTAGTCTCGAATGTGCGTGCAGCATGCAGAGCTGATTATTGGCTTTATCTTCCTCATATCGGAACCAATACATTCGTGCTGGGGTCGAAGACCGCACTGCGTGTAAAATGATTTTGGCCTCCGAGAAGCGATAGCCCCAGATTGTGCGCAACGCCCTTGGGGAGCGCTCAACCAACAGCTTCGTGGCGCAGCATCACGAGTTGAAGGCGTTTCAACAAATCAGACTGCAGATACTCGATGTGCTCAGCTTTTGTGTATAATGCACGCGTTGGCCGAGCATGATGGGCGAACCGCTGTACAATCCTTGGCTTCGAAGTGATTCTTTACAACGAGGTCCCGTTTTCTAGCTTGAAACTGCATTCGTCGGTTGAAGATCGGCACCTTGTCGCACCCGACCGACGTGCTGGGCTTCGCGTGTCACGATGGACGCTACTTCACTTTGTGGACCATCTGCTATCGTTAGTTTACATCTTGGACGTTTGCGACGTAAAGCGAATATGCTTCGAATGCTTGCACTTTGCGAAGTGCTAAGTCAGCATGCCGAAACAGGCAAGCCCGTATGCGTTTCCGCGCACGCCCACTCGACTGATGTCAAAAGGTACTTCATCACGAACGTCTCTGCTTGACGCGCGTAGGAAATCACGACGTCGTCAATTTCACTCCCGAAGGCCTCATTACGGCGCGGCACTGGTACACCGAAGATTGCGTTTCAGCGTACGCGCTGAGTGGTGCTTGGGCCAGGTAATCGCGAAGTTCGCAACGGCGTCACGGACTGTAAGCTGTTTACAGCAATGCTGCGAGCACTCGAACGTACGGGAAGGTTAGTAGCCAAATTGGACCGAGCAATGATTCTCGACACCTCTGAGTCTTTCCAAATTCCACGCTGTAGTGCACTATGAGGGAGAAACACGAGATTAGCAGTGAACGCGCTCGAAACACGGAGATGGACAACATAGCAATCACTTTCTGCGATGCATCCCAGCCCAGGCAAAGCCTCAGCCGTACCGTGACGGGCTCGAATCTCGGAGCGCATTTTGATGCGCTCTCAATATCACGCAGAAAAGGTGCACGAGGCGAACAAGGCGGGACAGGCTAGCCCTCGCCCACATGCTGTACGATTCCAAATTGACATTCCATGCCTTTGTGTCGTCATCAGCTCAACCTCCTCTGTACCCGTATCAATACCATGACTATCCACGCTTTCGCTCCGCGGTAACAGTGCCGCAGGACAGAAACCATCTACAAGATGATTCGGTCTTGTCTAGTCGTCCGCCTGCAACACGTTGTAGCTGCTGTCCATCGGTATCAATTACTCAATCCAAAATCTCCGCCAGCCATGAAGACGAGATGGCAATGAGCAGCCTCGTGATCAGCTTGTCTTCAGATGATCGATAAACAAGGCGAAATGGACGTAATGGACCACAGTTGCAGCAGACACGAAGCTGAGGATGAAGTTGGAACGCCATGCTTTTCCCTCATTCCGACAGCTCACGACCCGTTAGTCGCTTTCAGCCAATGCATTGTCCACAACCAGGTTGCATTTGCTGATCTTGCCAGCTTTTTCAGTGCGTGAGTCTCTGTGCTTCTTGCTGTCCGAACACAATGAGCTACGTTGACGACTGCGATAATCACTATGACGGCCACTAAACAAGTGAAGCACGCATTACCGTATAGCGTTCTGCAAAGCAGCAACACTAGGTCAAACTGCTTTGGCCGTCGACGCCGCGTCTGAGATCCCGACTGCGGTGACAGAATTGGTTGATGACATTACCACATTCGTGTCATCGGATCCGTCTTGTGAATCCTTGACTTTTTTCGACGGGCAAGTTGCAGCTTTTTCTTTCCGTGCGTACACCTTACGCTTTCGTGACGCTTGTTTTTTTGTGCTACAGCTCACGGGACCTACACCAGATGCAGCCAGCGACGAAGAAAGGCCACACATCGCGTCATCCAGAGCTGTTATAGCGGCAGCTTCTGCTGCTTCGAGAGTGAGCGCGCCGTTCTCACTTTTGAGGTCGCTCTTTACTCCCACACCTGATAACATCTTTACGTAGATATCCAAGGGTCCTGCTGCTTTCGAATTCGTCAGCGGGAGCTTCGAATACTCGTTCATTAGCACGTTCAGTCGGGACAATTGCTGCGTTTTGGTTCCAGTTTTCATCATGCATTTGTGGGCACGCGATACCCACGCATCCACGCGTCCAATCAAGCTACGAAGCACCATCAAAATTGTCTTGTCCTCCCAAAGTCCATACTCAGTTGCGTACGAGATGGCATCACTAATCTCGTCACGTGACGGTCGTTGCTGTAACCGGGACACCACGACTAGACTCCACGGCACCGCGCGTAGCAAACGAGCAAAGATGTCCACACCCGGAAACAATTTGTCGATGCTCATGGGTACAGACTCTGATGTAGAACTAGTGGCCGGATCGAACGAAGCGCACGTCATTGCCTTGAGTGCGGACTCGTACTCTCGAGGAATAAACTTTGCGAAAACAACGTTAGCACGCGATATTAACGCTGTCGTATTAAGCAATAGCCCAGCTTGCTGAACCCACGCTTGTGCATGAGATAGCATACGATGGCGAGCGTGAAAGACATCTGAAATCTCCCGGAGTGCTTTCTGCGCGTTTGATAGTCGCTCGCGGCTCAGACGCAAGGAACTCTGAAGCTCCAGCACTTGCTTGCTCGCCTCAATGTGCTCTTTCTTCATCTTTGCCAATTGCTGCTCCACACCACCTGCAACAACAAAAGATGCAATTCGTTCCGTGCTCCCCATCAATGTGGCGGTCATTGGATTTAGCAATGCCGGGGTAAGAGTCTGTCGGACTGTAGCTGGAGCGGATGGGGAAGGAATAGGCGTAGTCGGCGTCACAGGTGTTGTCATGGCACTTGTTAATTGTTGGTGCGACGAAGCGAGAAAAGCAGCTGAGGTAGTCACTGAAAGTGATGTTGAGGTACCAGTCTTCACAGCATTTAAGCAACTCTTTGATACTGTTGCCCCAGTTAAAGTAGGTGCAGCGGTTGAACCTACCACACCAATCGTTGCAACCAGCTTGGCAACATCCTCTGGCTTGGACACGCTTTTAAGTACGTTACCCACAGCACGTATGGGCGGAATCAGGATACTGGGATACTGCTGGCGATTCAAGACTGCGACGTTTATACCTGCAGTGGCCGATACCGCTGTGCTGCTCTTACTAGAAGCAGTAGTAGCGGCAGGTGCTGCAGAAGCAGCCGGTGAACCCGCGTTTGCATTCGTAGCGATCGTTGGGACCTTTGCACTCGCAATTGCGTTTGCAGCCACCGCATTCGCCATGACAACGGTGGATGCTGGCGCTGCTGCTGACACTTGTGCTGTAGTAGACGGTTCGAGCTGGGATGACTGCTTCGACGGATATTGCGCTGCAAAAGCACCGTTGCTTGTAGCAGCATTCATCGCCAAGCAGGCCTTCGCACGCTCGATGTCATCGATTCGTGTCCACAGCTCATTCATTTGGTTATTACAGCTATACAACAGCATCTCCGTTCGTTCGACGGTCTTTTCTTCGCGCTTGACCTTTCTTAACGCACTGGCCTGATGCTTTTCAAACGCCTTGGCATACTCATGCATGTCCCACAAAGTGCCTTGTCGTACCGTAACCGTTGCTTGCTGCAGCGTTGCTGCTAGTTCCTGTAGAACAGTGCACGATGGGCAAGTGTAGTGCTCTACCTTTTCGGCCTTCTCCTTGGACATACCGATACAACTGTCGTGGAACCAGTCATCGCAGTGATCGCATCCAATCATCAATCCATCGAAAGGTTGCCGGCAGATGCAAAATCGCTCAGTGGCGGACTTCAGAACGTCTCGATGCATGTCGAGATCAATCACTAGTCGAGCGCACTCGTACTCATTGAGCAACGCAAGCAAAGTCGCAACTCGCGCTTGGCCCGTCTCGATTCCAGACCCTAGCACGCGCTGCTCCCAGTCATTTGCAATCTCCAGGTGCTCTTTAAGAAAGTCAAACACAGGCATGTCGATCGCAATGTCTTCACCTTCCTCTACAAGAGACCGCGCTGCACTCATGCTCAGTCGCCTAGCTCCTTTTGTAGCCAGGGCTCGCAAACGTTTCTTCAGCTTCGATAACCAAATTCTGGCTTTCTTGGCTTCGTCCATCACAATCTTAAAGGTACCCTGCTCTAGCAGAAGCCCACTTCCGCTATCAAGCAGCGCCTGTAGCTCACTTATCTGTGCGTGCTTTTCTGCCACACATTTGCGGACGCGCTCGGTCCACTCGAGCACCACATTTTCGTGAGCTCTCAAGTGCGGCAGTGGCCAAAGCATTCGTTCCATAGTTTCCAGTGTCTTTGGCCCAATTATACCACGAGACGTAAACTTCTTCACGTCTTCGGCAATCCTGTTGCCCTTCTCGACCAAGTCTTGGAGAGGAAGAATCTCGTCATAAAAAAGCGACCGCGATCCTTGCAACCAGTCAAGCAGCGATACGATAAGGCTCAGGGCATGCTGCTCCGGAGCTTCGACGCTAAGAATATCGCTTTCCTTTTGTACATGCGCGAGCTGTTGCTTCCACCCGTTCAATACTCGTACAGATTTATTCGTGATGTCCTCTGTAATATCGCCCATCTCTCCAGCCAGCACCAGCTCCTCGACCGTTTGCCGTGCTTCGGCTTCTTTCAACTCCAAACTATCAACAGCCACAAAGCTTTCCTCTGCCATTGCCAAAACTGATTCTAACAAATCTTGTCCATTTTCGGCCGTCCATGATGTCCTCACGTCGATAGCATTAGCATCGTCTTCCTCATCCTTGGAAGCTGACTTTCGCATGCAGCCACTTTCCATTCTAACACGCGTCATAATCTCATCGACATGTATCTCCACTGCCCGCATGTTCGTGCCGACGATACTAGCAGAGCTAGGAATACTTAAACCAGACACCACTGCTGCCTTACCGCCATTATCACTGCAGTCACCCTCGCAGTTGTCAAGTCCAAGACGCCTCTCCGTGCTACTTACCACTAATCCATGGTCGGCCGGGCCCTCTGCATCAACGTCCATCGCACATCCATTGATTTTCTCGCTGCGTACTTCGCTTTTAACAGCGCCCATTTCTTCCTTTGGCCAAGCCAACGATTCTTCGATGCCAGTAAGCTTGTTGTTCTTCTGACTTACATCAACACCGACCGTATCGCCAATATGAAGTTTTTGTTTAGCCTGTTGCAGCTTCCCGTACACGAGAAGATCAATGGATCGAAGACGATCGACCACCTCGCCAATCGACGCGCTAGTTTCACCATTTATGACATCGTGTGCCTTTGTTCGCCATGAGGTCAAATCGTTGAGCTCCTTCGACAGGATGCGCAGTTCGTCACGAAACAGAAAGTGCAACCTTTTGGACTCATCCAACAACTCGTGTAGTTGTTCTGTCGAGAAAGAATCATTGGCCAAACCCTTTTTCCGTGATTGCCGCGGAGGAATGCATTCACGAACGCGCGCCGCCCAACCTTTCTCACCTTCGATGATGCTGGCGAGGCTCTGTCCCTCGTCGAAGGTGAATGGGAAGGCGTATATTCGCTCCAGTAACGACGATGCGTGCGCCAAATCACCCAGTTCTCGAGGCATCGACTTAGTTGCCTTTCTCTTCGTCTCATCTGATGTATCTGTAGGGTTCGTCCCCGGTAAGCAGCCAATACTCATCAGAATAGCGCTCGCTTCTGCCTGCGCTTCAACGCCTTTCAAAAGCAAGTCGTTAAGTGGCGTGGTGTATGACGACACGTCGACCGCAAGCGCTTGCGACTTTTCGACCAGCTTGCCAATCATATCCATGGATTTCTTATTTGTTTTATCGCCATTTGACGCTGACAAATGAGATGAAGACCTGGAGGAAACTGAACATGGTACGTACGACGACAGCGAGGCAAATAACTTGTCAAAGGCCGCAACACCGAGGTTATCTCGGAGCTCATTGATCCATTTGCGTGCTTGGTCCATTGCAGCGTGGATCTCGCGTTCTATTTGTGGCTTCCAGCGTGACTGCTTCTTGGGATAAATGCGTTCCCGTATCGCATTTGCCTGTGCTCTCAGATCTTCAATTTCTTCGATCGATTTACGAGAAGCCAGCTTCGCTGCCGCGGCTGTACACCATTCACGTGCAGCAATTTCAGCCTCCAAATACTTCTGCTCGTCCATAATCACAGGAATATCCTTGGCCTCGTCCAAGATCTCTTTCAGACCATCGAGCGTAACATCGGCGCCCTCATCAATTGCTTTCTTCACCTTGACGGCCCACTCGTCCGCACACGCCAATAAATCTTGCATTTCAAACATTTCAGTACTACTTTCACACGGCGCATCATCGACGAGCGCACGTATTGCTTTCACGTCCATTTTGTTAGTGTCGGTGCTGCCTGCTCGACGCGTCGCTCGACGATTCGGCATGCACTTACGAGCCTTTGCGAGCCACGACTGCGCATTCAGCATCTTGGTCTGAAACTGCTCCACCTCTTCCTCAAAATTCACTGGTATGAACTCAATCTTTGCCAGCACATCACGCACAACAGGAAGGCTTACTCTGCCTTCTGCCAACATGTTGTCCATCACAGACTTCAGCTCCTTTGCCTCGTCTACCACATTTCGAAACTGATCTTCTTCTGTAAAAACCACACGTGGCACCATCACCGCTTCAAATAGCTCTTCCAACTCTTTCAGTGCCACCTTCTTGCTCTGGTGTCGTTTGCTACTACGCGTTTGTCCCAGCGCTTCTTTCAACCGCGCAAGCGCCGTCTCAAACGCCCGAAGTCGGAATACGATCGCTTCTTTTGCTGGCAGTACAACCTGCATATCTTCTGCTTCGTGCAGTAGCTTCCGCAGCCGTGCGCAATCGACCTTCTCGTTTCTCACGGCCTCACATTGTCTGGTCCACTGCAAAATACGCGTCACAAGACGTGCTAGTACCCCAGCCTCTGTTGCTGGTATTACACTCTTTTCAGCGCTCGTCTCTGCGTCTTCGTGTAATTGCCGCATATTTTCGAACACTCTGCCATCAATCACCGTCTCTTTCATGCAGCGATAGAACGCCAACAGCCATTGCCTGGCACCTTCTACTGCCACCGATTTACTCGTCATTGGACTCCCTGTCACCGCCGATGGCGGCACTTCAATACTATGTCGTGCATACAGGGAGCACGCAGCGTCCGTGGTATTGTAATTAAAGCGATGCAAGTGCTCGAGAGCTAGTGTCGTCATGTGTTCCTGCGTATCAAACGTCGCACCTTCTCGCAGCGACCGCGCCAACTGAAGGTACTTGTCTAGCTCGATCCCCAACTCTGGAGACGACACACCATTTACACGCGAGCAAGGAATGGCGTCAGTCCGATAAAAAATAACGAAAAAAAGACACACGATAAAGCAGTACAATAGCCAGTATCCGTATCCGAATGCAGTCATCACGGCAGGACTGTACTCACAAGCATACACACACACTCTCTCTCTCATTCTCTCTCTGTACCTTGTGCTCGGCCACGACAGTACCTCGGTCTAGGCTGCTGCATCTCCTGCTTCTTCTTGTACAAACGCTCCGTCGTGTCCGTGAGCAGCTCCGGGATCACGGCCTGGTACCGCTTGCCAACACGCGAGTGGAGCGCCACGAACTGACGGGCACACGCGCCCCCGCTACTGCTGCCACTACTGCCGCTGCGCTCTCTGCTGCTTCGGTTGCTGTGGCTGCTACGCGCGCTCTGCCGCTCGCCAATCGCGTCGTCGTCGTCGTCATCGTCCGAGCTGCTGTTGCTGCGTCGACTCATATCAACGAACAAGAAGTTGGGCAAATGGCGATGCCAGACGCTGATTGGTGCAAACCCCACAGCATTGCTGCGCTGACCATCACTCCGACAGCGGTAGTCAAAACAAGACACGCAGCGCCACAACTGGTGGACTGCACACTAGTTCAGGCCGTCGTCCCTTGTTCATGTCGAATGTTGGTGTGTACTTTGTGATCTGCACACAAACGCATGAAGCTCCTCGTGACCGCTACCGCTCGTCCGGCGTTAGCCGCGCGCGCGCTGCCGCTCGTCCCGCGCCGACCGTCGCGCGCTCTCCACAGCTCTCGTCCGCTTCTGGTGCAGTCGTTTGACGACGCGGGTATGCCGCGCCTGCAAGACACGCCTGCGAACCTTGTGCGTATGAGAGTTATAGCTGTTGACGTTATCATTGTGATTGTGTGTTTGATATGGCGTCGTATCATTCGTTGCGGTCTTACCAGCTGCACAAATAGTAAAAGAGGTGAAGGGTGTGAAAAAAACTGACTGTTGCATTCAATGACGGCCAATGTGTAGGGCGTGCTCATTGTGCCACAGCAGCGCGCGTGGGTCGTCGAGCGCTTTGGCAAGTTCCACGACGTGCTGACGCCTGGTCTGCACTTCCTTATCCCGTTGGTCGACCGCATTGCCTATGTGCACTCGCTCAAGGAAGAAGCGATCAAAATCCCGGGGCAGACAGCCATCACGCGGGACAACGTGACGATCAGCATCGATGGCGTACTGTACGTGAAGATTATTGAGCCGTACAATGCCAGCTACGGCGTCGAGGACCCGCTCTATGCGGTCACGCAGCTTGCACAGACGACCATGCGGTCCGAGCTCGGAAAGATCACGTTGGACAAGACGTTTGAAGAACGCGAGTCGCTCAACTTGAGCATTGTCGAAGCGATCAACCAGGCGTCCGAGGCCTGGGGCATCAAGTGTCTGCGGTACGAGATCCGTGATATTGCTCCACCGCGCAGTGTGAAGGCTGCAATGGACATGCAAGCTGAGGCTGAGCGTCGGAAACGAGCCGAGATTCTGGATTCTGAAGGCGAGCGCCAGGCGTACATTAATGTAGCTGAAGGCAAGAAGCGTGCTGCTGTCTTGGAAGCAGAAGGAGCGGCTGCAGCCATTTTGGCAAAGGCAAAAGCGTCGGCTGAAGCGATTCAGCGGCTTTCGAACGTTATCCAGGAGACAGGTGGCCGCGACGCAGTGGCACTTCAGGTGGCGGAAAAGTATGTGGACGCGTTTGGTAATATCGCCAAGGAAGGCACGACCGTGCTGCTGCCGTCAAACGTCAACGACCCTTCTAGCATGGTTGCGTCAGCTCTCTCTATTTTCGGAAACATCCAGAAACAGAACAGCAAGGAAGCTGCTCGTCTTACGGACAAGTCGGGCCATCAGGATGCTGAAGGAAAGCTCGGCGAGTATACACTGGACAGCGTCGACACGGAGTCGACCTAGGAGTAGCTCAAGCTTTGCAGTACATGGGGGGTCCGAGGTCACACGGGTACGAGTAGTTGAGGGCAGGCTGGATGGTCACGTAGTGGGCGTCAGATGATGACAGCTATACAGGAACTTGCTCTGTTCCTTTGCAGCAATGAACAAAGGCGTACGAGACGTGGGTGCAATGCTGGACCATCTCATCATGAACAAATTGGTGCACAAGCTGTTCCGTTTCTATAGCGCGTGTTCTAGGTGACGATCTCTTGCGTTGTGCAAGCGTATGTTGTGCTCGCTTCGAAACCGACGGTATCGAGAAAGTGTGCGTCAATAGTCCATATCGTCGGTTCGAGTATCCACGGAACGTTCTCATAAGACGTCAAGATGCTCTACCAGGAAGAACATAAGTTTCACGCGTCTGCTTCAGCGTGCTTCTGCACATTTTGGATAGATGTCGAGGATGGCAGCAAATCAGTAGTTATTCTGCGCTCCTCGGCGCCAATCCCTTTATCGATCATATGCCTCCGAAGGTCTCGAATGACCTCGCCTTTGACGTCACTCGATGGACATATATTGAGCGCACATTCATAAGCAAGTGCGACTGTCACATGCGCCTTCTATGCGGTCTTGGCACGAGTATACGTCGCGTTCGAGCTAATCATCACGCTGTACCCCTACTTGTTGGACTGGCCGTTATAACCTCTCCGTGCTCGTTCCAGTACTTGTTAGTAGGTGTGTGATGCGATGTACGAGATTCAGGTGTTGAGCTAGCGACTACTCTTGTCTCGTAGCGGCTTCTTGGTGTTTGTGCTATCGACTGCCTCAAACCGCTATAAGTAGACATCTTTTCGGGTGTGATCTTCCAGGTCGTGTACAGGTGACCGACTACGTCGAGAGCTTCGGTTTGATCTTGAACGTTACGGTGCAGTTAGCCGAGTCCATGCTGGGCGTTTTCTCTAGTTAGTGGCGTGGCGTTTAATGGCAAACTAAGCTGATACAGAGAGCGCTGCCTCACTGAGAGTTGCGGCTGTAAAGCCTGCACATTGCACAGCTTTTGAGACATGAACAAATCTACAGGATGAGGTGAGGTAGACTGAGGATGTTGCGGAGAAGCCGATCGAGATCCCATATTACTAGATCCTGGGCCATACCACCGCGTAGAAGGGGATCAAGCGAGACTGTGGCCACCGAGATGGTTTTGCGAGACTTTACCGACTGGACCACATCAAATTTGGGAAAGCGATGCAAAAGTGACTTGGATCTGCCTATTCATGCGACATCACACGACATAAAGAACGTACTTGCATGCCTTATGTACGCTCAAAAAAGGCATCACGACGACCAACATCTACATGGTTTACTGAATAAACGAAAACCCGAATGCGCCTCTGTGACTACAGAGTGACAGCATGTGTCAATTTGGAACTGCATATCTGAATAACGAGTACTAGCGTGCGGCCTCTCGTCCACCCTCCAGTTGGCGGTCATACCAGGCCGTCCAAAGCCCATGGCCGTGGATGGGTGTGGGCGTTAGCGTCCCACTTAGAACTGTGCTAACGATATAAGGAAGTCGGTGATGTGCAAACAGTCGAGAAATCGCTTTTCATGAACAAAGTATTGTTTGGACGAGGTGTTACAAAGTCATCCTGTTTGCGAATGTTCTTACACAAGTGCATTCGAGAGCAGGCACGAGTCAAACTATGGCAAGCCGAATCCACTTCTAACATTGTAGAAAGCCAACTTGGCAGCCCATGCTACAGGGATATACTTTATACCGAACTTTTGGTCCAACAAAGCAGAAAGGGAGATACTCGAGTTGATTGCGGCTCGATAGCAATGGGAAAAGCTACCGACCAAGCGATCCAAGACGCTGTACAAGCGCAACATCTTGTATTTGAAGCTCAGTCGTATCCACAAGTGGTGCTACGATTCGGCTTTTACAGTATGACCGTGCGAGTACGGGCTGCGTGTGGCCCGTTCGTTTGACACATCAATGGAATGAAAACGGTGTTGACGATTGACATGGACGATTCAAAATGTAGGTCAATCGAATCGTGTCTGTGCCCCGCACGCCTCCAAGGACTCGGCTTGTCTCCAGCTTGTGGTCGAGTACCCATGACTCGTCGTGTGGAACAGCTTTGTAGGCTCACGTTGTTTTCCTAGCGGCATATCTACCAAATGTTTTGGCAAGGCAAAGTATGGCGCATTGCAGACGTAAATCGTCTGCTCAATAAGTATCGAGTTTAACCCGATCGAGCTTGCGCCTTTAGACGTGTGAAGAGCCATTGGGAGGTGCTGCTATGGAACCTGCTGGGGTAATTTCCGAAATGTAGCTCAACCCATCGAGAAGCTCCATTGATCGCCCTTGGGAACAAGACGGACGTCAATTTTGTGACCACCATAGACCGTGAGTCATATCTGTACAGTCACAGCAACACGGGTCGCTTCACAAATCGTCGCCGAACATTGCAAATACGGACTGCCCTGACGACACGATGCACTTCGACGAAAACGTCTGTTGGTTGTCCGTCGGGAAAGTCTACATTTGATTCGCTGTTTTAAACACTTTTGCATCTCGTCTTACAAAATTACAGGTGTTGCTTGTTGTAAAAAACCCACAAATAAAGCAGGAAGATGCCGCGATGGTGCCCTTTTCAAACACCCAGTCACATCGCCGTCGTCTTTTATCCAGCGCATCATGAAAAGTGACGCAGCTGCAAGGGCGTCTCTCGCGGGCTTTGTGTCCACGTCCGTCCTGACCTCTTCCGATGGAGTGCGTCTCTCTCCGTCCAACACGACACAAAGCACCTCTTCTTCCTGCGCTATATTGACGACGCTATTGGTGCTGTCACCGCTTACATGTGCGTGTGCCCGTAGCTCTTTGGTGACAACGTCCAGGAAGAGCGCGTGACGGAGGCCCCAGCACCGCGAGCAGAGGACGCCGGCGGCTACAAACCACTGTACGAACAGTTGCAAGAGCGTCAAGAGAAAAAAGACAGTGACTGGAAGGAGAAGAATAACCCATTTGGTGCGTGGCCTCATGTGTGTCTTTTGTCCGTATGGGTGGGAGGGTGAATGAATGGATGAATGCATTCGAGTAAGACTGCCTTTATGGCAACGGTCCTGACCGACAATCACTTGCGGGCGTTTGGCTCGCTTGCTGCTCTTTTGTTGCTGTGTGGGCAGCTCCGCCCAAGGGACTGGATGACGACGAGTTTGCGTACATTACGGAACTAGAGAGCAAGAAGAGCGACGTCGAGCGACAGCGGCAGGCACAGCACAACGACGACCTGGCGGACTTTCGTACGCATCGAGAGGCTGGTTTGTGTACGCTGCAGATGGTGCTGAGCTAAGAGCGTCAATTGTGGTCACGTGGCTGTTTGCAGTTGTGGCGCGGAGTGCACCCAAGTCGAAAGCTGACGCGTCGCTCACAGTCCAGCAATTGCAAAGGCTCAGTGCAGAGAGTGACTCGAAGGCAGCAAGCAAGAAGCAGCAGCGTGCGGTGGTCGTGGTCAAGGCCAAGCGAAGGAGGGCTGACAAGACACGCAACGGGCATGTCGTAGCTGCTGAGGTCTCTGGCAAGTCGAAGCACCAACGATCGAAGAAGGCAAAGGTCGAGGACTTGACCACGTCCGTCGTGACCCGAAAGGAAGAGCCGCGTACAGCAGTGCGTGGACTGGTGTCGTACGGTAGCGACAGCGATGACGGAACCACAGCAAGTTAGCACAGGCGAGGCAGAGGGTGGACCCAATGGACGTCACCATTTGCTGTTTACTGCGCTACATGCACCATGCACATTCTAGCCCTGTGATTACTGGAAAAGTGGCGGAGGAATTGCACCTCGTCGTGATGTTTTCGGCTGAAGAAGACGCATGGCAGAACTTCTGGCTGTGTTAGGCCTGCACAGTGGAGGGGATGCCTCGACTAAAACCCTGGTACCTCGCGCAGCCAACTGCTTTGGTCGTTCTGGAGTGCGCCCAACAACTGAAGAAGTACTCACCGTTCGGCTTGAGGTAGATTTGGGCAATACCCGAATTCGTTTGGTCGGAACTGATGGGTCACTCGGAACAACAGGTTTTGTCGACGAGGACGCAGAAGACTGTAACCGACAGTGTCCCGGCATGCTTGCATCAAAAAGAGGTGTTGTGTGTGTCTTCGCAGCGGCCCGGCACAACGAACCAGGCACGCTGCATTGGTCCGCTGTCGACGAGCCCTCCGTCTTGCACTTTGGGACCGATGCCGCACTTGCTGGCGTGCCAATCGTTGTGCTTTGACTCCTTTCAGGGCTGCTGCAATGACGTAGTAATCTTCGCCCCGATTTACGAGGTCGCGACTGCATTGGCTTCTGCTTCAGCTGATGCGGCAGTAGGACTTCCTTGAACGCCTCGCTCGCACTGGGACGCTCGCGTTTTACTGACCGCTCTTGGCGTAATGCCGACAGAATGCTATCGTTGCCAGCCATCGCCGAGGTCGGCTTTTCACGCAGTGAACACGAAGGCACCTTCGTCACGGACTGCAGTCACCACAGAAAACACGCACTCAGAACCACAACTACGACGACACTACCGCACGACACCAACGATCCTACTACCACCACCACCACCACCACCATCAATACAACAAGCAACAAGGCACAAAAAGCACAGCTAACGCGTACCGTAGACAGCACAGCGTTCACTACACAGTTCCCGTCCCCTCCGATCCCCCTGTCGCCTTCATCGTCATCACCCTGCTCGTAGGCCTTGAGCAGATACCGCACCAGCTCGGGCACCAGCACCATTAGTCTGGACCCCAAGTGGTGCTCGAGAAACGCTTGAAACGGCGAGCGTTCTGCCGCGTCGTCGTCCGTCAAAGGCGGCGGATTCGCCGCGTCCAGCAGCAGCGCCACACGGTCCAGTAAGCCCCGAATCTCCTTCTTCAACAGCTTCTTTTCTGCTCGACGTTCATTGCCTGTCAACGCGCCGTAGCGCAGTATGCGACACACGAGCTGCAGCTGCAGCACTCGCACTTTAGCGCGTCGCAGCGGTCCGTTCCGACCCACCGACGCGTCCAGCGCCGGCAGCTGCACGAGCAACTCGGTCCCTACTGCAGCCAGTCGCGTCTTCAACTTCTTGAGCTGTTTCCTGTCCAACTCGGTCAGCTCAGCTGCCACTGCTGCTGCTTGGCCAGCACTGCTCGAGCGGCGCTGAGCGGTCTGTTTGACTCGAGGCTGGAGCTTCAACCACCACTCCCCGCCTTCCTGAGCCAGCAACACGTCCACAAACGCCAGCACTTTGTCTGGCTGCGTCTCGCTATGTACCTGTAGTGTCGTGCGCGCGTCCTCGACCGCCACGGCCTTGGAATACTCGACGCGCCAGTCGGTTGACATGGTACGTGGTGGGTGCACTTGTTGCGCTGATGGTGGCACACTGTGTGTGTTTGTGTGTCGCTGCGGTCGGCGACGAAGAGTATCCAATCAGCGCCCACGACTGCCACTCCTGTGTGTAGTTTGCCAGCTACGGGCTCTTGCACCCGGACACAAACAAAAGCCCGCCAACTGTGCGCGCGCCATTGATAGACCTGCCCTCCTGACGTTCACTCCTGACGTTCACGTTTGACCTTCACTCCTGACCTTCACTCTTGCCAATCAACGCATCAAGGCAGCACCTGCCAACGAGATTCGTTGCGCCTATTGTTGTTGTTCTGGTTGTTGCTTGTTGCTGTAGGTCGCCATGCTGGACGGAGCTCCCCCGACAGAGATGGCGCTGCAGATCCGCAACGAAAAGCACCTCAAGCACGTGGGTGTGGCCATGCGACGTCCCCGCGCGCGTGCCTCGTGCATCAAGGGCCAGGCAGACGAAGACACGAAGCAGTGGGAGCTGCTGCTCTTCTCGATCGCCGACTCGAGCGAGTTGGCCGATCTCGAGTCGCTGCTCGTGCAGCTCGCACCGTCCACGTGCTACGTGTCGGCGGACCTGGAGCACCTGCAGGGCGTCGGTGACGGTAAGAAGCTCCACGCGCTCCTCCAGACACACGGCGTGGCCAGCGTCTACGTGAAGAAGAACGTGTTCCTCGACGTCCGTGGCGTCGAGACGCACGTTTCGAGACTCGTTGGCGCCGAGACAATGGCCGTGCTGCCGGACGTGCTGTCCTGCAAGCTGGCTGCCGGGTCGCTGGCCTGTTTGCTCGACGCGCTTGGCGCCGTGACCGACACGGACGCTTTTGGGTGCTACACGCTGCAAAAAGGGAGCCTCGAGTCGGCCATGCAACTGGACAGTGCGGCGCTGCGGTCGCTGAACTTGTTGCCGGAGCCAAGCGCTACGGCGACAGGAGGAGGGACGTTTGGAGGCAGTGTCTTGGAGATCCTCAATCGAGGGAAGACACTGATGGGCCGACGGCTGCTCGAGCGCTGGATTCGACAGCCACTGCTTGATGTGGAGCAGATTGAAACGAGACAAAGGGTTGTGCAGCTATTCGTAAATGACTCGTCACTCAGGATGGAGCTGCTCGACGAAGGGATGAAAGCGCTGCCTGATTTAGGTCGACTGGCGACCTGCCTGGAAACGAAGAAGCATGCAAAGATTACCGACCTCGTAAGCGTATACGACGCAGCGGTGGGTGCAATGCCTCGTGTGTTGCAGTGCTTGAAGAGCGCGAATGTTGGTCGTAGTGGTGATGACACGATAGCAAATCTGGTGAAGCCTATGTTCGTTGCGCCGCTAGACAAGGTGCTAGCAGATTTGCGAGGCTACACAGAGCTCGTCGAGGAGGTTGTCGACTTGGACAGCCGTCCAACTCTCGTGGTAAATGCCAAGCACGACGAGAATCTACAGGCGCTGCGTGAAGAGTGGGATGGTATCCTTGCGGACATCGAAGAAGAGCACCAAAATGCTCTTGACAACATCGGTGGTGAGATCAAGTGCGAGAAAGACAAAGTTCGTGGTTTTGCTTTCCGTGTTATCAACAAGAAAGAAGAAGCCCGTTTGTCCAAGTTGCCGCACGTGCACATATGCCAAGTACTCGTGAGTGGAGTCCTGTTTACGACGACAAAGTTAAAGGCGCTAGCCGACGACTACCGCCGTGTGCGCGGCGAATATGAGGAACGACAGAGTCATTTGCTGAGTGCAGCGGTCGATGTGGCTAGCACGTATGTGCCAGTGCTTGAAGCGGCAACTGCGATACTAGCAGAACTGGATGTGCTGCTTGGATTTGCGCACGCTGCATGCCATGCTGGCTCGGGGTATTGCCGACCCATGCTGGATGCTAATGGTGACTGCATTGTGCTCACAAGCGCACGTCACCCTTGCGTGGAACTGCAAGACGGCGTGGACTTCATCCCGAACGATTACGCGTTCGATCGTGAACAATCGCGTTTCCAGCTCGTGACGGGGCCCAACATGGGGGGTAAGAGCACCTATATTCGTCAATTGGGGACCATTGCCGTGATGGCTCAAATTGGTAGCTTCGTACCGGCGGAAGTCGCTCGATTGCCTGTGTTCGACAAGTTGCTGGTTCGTGTCGGTGCAGGGGACCTGCAGCAGCGGGGGGTGTCGACGTTCATGCTTGAGATGTTGGAGGCATCGGCCATTCTGCACAAAGCCACTGAACGCTCGCTCGTGATTATTGATGAACTCGGTCGAGGCACATCGACGTACGACGGCTTTGGGTTGGCATGGGCCATCTCCGAGTACCTCCTCACCAAAGCGCGCTCATTGTGCCTCTTTGCCACGCATTTTCATGAACTGACAGCTCTAGAGCGCGAGCACCCTCGCGGCTTTCAGAATAAGCACGTAACGGCTGTAGCTAGCGACAGGGATATCACAATGGTCTACCAGGTGCGGGATGGCCCATGCATGGAAAGCTTTGGCGTCCACGTGGCATCGATGGCAGGATTCCCTCCGTCTGTCATCCAATGCGCTCGGAGGAAAAGCCAGGAGCTCGAAGGTTTTGAACGAGCTTTGGGTACTAGTCAGGACTCTTGTGGTGGCGAGAAATGCGCGAAAAGATCCGCGGAGGAGACGTCACTACTCGATGAGACCAGGCAAGCTCCTTCTTCGAAGAGAATTGCGCTGGACAAGAGGCTCGTCGCCGCGTTTGCTGCGCTCCCTCTTGACAAACTCACGCGTACTGAAGCCCTTTCTGCAGTTCGCGAGCTCGTCGTCAATGAAGGAAGCGGATCGTGACATCACCACGAGTACAACCGCACGATTCGAACTCAATGAGTGAGTGCTATGCACTTGTAATTCGATGGCCAAATTGGGGGTACGCTGGTTCGTAGCGTGCATATGTATGACGTTATAGGAGATTGAAATGCCAGCGGGTCAACCAACTTGCGTTGACTCAAACTCTTTACCAATGATACACTGAAGCGGTACAGGGAAGATTAGTCGGATGCCGGATACCGGACGAAGACGTGGTCGATTCGTGCAGTCGAGCAATGCGTTGCCCACCACATGCAACATGTGGTGTAAAGTCGATTTAGCTTTGGAACAGTGCTGCACATACTGTGTGATATGCGCATTTCGGTTGGCTGGTTACAGGCATGTGCAGTTCCACGTCTGCTCAGCACTCGATCAAAGGACGTTTCAAGGAAGCGCCGTGGTGTCTGACATTCGCTAACATGAATAAAAACTGGAGGTGTACTACAGGACAGAAAAACAACACGATATAACGCAACATTGGATAGCAAAACGTTTCGAGGAAATACGAACGAACATGCACGTGCTTAGGACCCCGTAGCCAGATTTGATTTTTTGTCGTGGACATTCACAGGAACTTGTCATGACAACGATGTGGGAGATGTTGAGCATTTGGGAAGGTCCTGGTGGTTCCTAGACCTCCGTTGGGCATTCAGTTTTTCCCATAATGACTGCTAACAAGCAACTACTGTTGCTGCTATGTGAAAAAGAACAACGTCCGGTTCTTTTCATCCCTCGCCATCCACAGACGCTTTCACACGTCTTGCGTGACAGGCATCCGGTTCAGGCCCTCCTCCTCATTGGTCAAAACACCACCACCAGCTGCTTTCTCCGCCGTTTCCGCCGTCCACGCCACCAACCAATTGGTTGACCAGCAACAACCGCACGCGCACCCGCCGCCCTGCGCGATCCATTGCTCCATCTGACCATGGAACTCCCACCGGCCAAGAAGCGGCGGCACCGGTTCCAACGGGTCAAAGAGCGCGTCTCCAATCTGCAACATGAGCTCACGCTCCACGCCAAGACAACCGGCGCCGTGCAAGAAGCGTCGCAGCTCTCGTTCAAGGAAGAGCTGGCGCTTCAAGCGGAACTCACGACGCTCGACAGCTCGCAGCTCCTCTTTCGCACGCTGCTGCCGCTTGTGACCACGACTCCGCATCTACTGCATTACCTGGAGAAGGTAGTGAGGTGTTTGCAGACAGAGCTACAGGAGGCGCACGAAGACCAGGCCGACCAGACGGTGCAGCGACAGCGACTGGTGCCCGTGCTAAAACTAGTCGCAGCACTAGCTCGAGAACTCGGCAAGGAGTTTTACCCGCACTTTGCCGGCGTCTTGCCGCTGCTTGTTGACGTGATTGACACAAAAGACCCAGAACTCAGCACGCAAGTATTCAAGACGCTTACGATGCTGTTCAGCTATCTACGCGTGCAGCTACTCGCTGATATGGACGCCGTGCACAAGTGCTATTTCCCGCTGCTTGGACACTCGAGGGATTTTGTGCGTGACTTTGCCGCGCAAACGTTAGCGGTGCTGCTCAGACGGTTGGAGTCACCGAAGGCCATGAAAAAGTACTTGCGCGCGTATTTGACAGCGCTGGTGAAGGGGTCTGGACGCAGTAACGAAGTGTTGCGCGATGGATCGGCCAAGTTGTTTTTTGCACTTGTGAAGAATGTGGGTCATGGATTCCACTCGCGGATGCGCGAGGTGTTGTTGTTCTTTCTCGGCTCGTTCCGGCCCACCGGTACCGAGAAGGAAGAGACGCTGGAGCAACTTGAGCAGCAAGCAGCAATCTATGGTATTGTGTACCAAACGTGCGGACTTATGATGAAACACACGGACGCTGATCACTCGGGCGAAATGCTGGAGTGCCTTGTGCTAGTAGTGGACAAGGTGGTGAATCTTCGGCGTGCGGAAGTTGTGGTACCGACCGAGGCCTATGATTTGTATTTGAGTCGTGTGTTACGTGTGCTGCTTGGATTTTTGATCTCGCGAAGAGGCCAACTGATTACCGAGGCAAATGATGCATACGAAGTGCGCGTGCCCAGCATTCACAAGGTTTGCGCTGCGCTGGTAAATCCTGCCAACAAAGTGTTTGTCTCCCAAAGCACAGTGCTTCGAGATGTGCTTATGTCCATGTTTGAAGTAGTTTGGCGGCTGTTTCCTGCTGAAGATGACGCAATCTCCGCTCAGATGAAGGCCTTTTTTGCAGTGACAAGAGAACAAAATGAGCAGATGTATTGGTGCCAAAAGCTCTTAACATTCGTGGACCAGTCGGTGCACAATCGCAACATTGGCGTGGGCTTTGTCGTTGAGTTTTTACTTCCAAACGCCTTGGAGTACGCACTCAAAGCAGTTTTGAAAACGGACGTGGGCGCATTTAGTGAGTTTGTGTGTCAACTTGGGGACTATGTGACAGAAAATGCAAGCGAGATCAGTGACGGTCAGAGCGTTTATGTTGTACGCTCGAAAACGAGTCGTCGGCCCTGGCTTCTCTTACTGGAAAGTATTGATACCGACGCCGAGGACATACTTTTCGACGCTGGCCAGAAACTGTTTGGACATGCTAGTAATGGTACGGACAGCGACAGCGATGGTATGGCCGTGGTTTGGAAATTTTGCAAGGCGTTAGGATGCTTACTGTTGTCTGATGCTGGAATGATTACTTTCACGACGCCCTTGATTAAGAAGCTGGATCAGCAATTGACGAGTGTGTCTGCTGCAGCGGCCATCAAAATCTCCTGTCTCCGTGCTGAGTTGTGGCTATTGCAGCAAACCGCCAAGCACCACCAAGGCAAAGAATCGAATTCATCCATTACGACGGAGAATATGATGCAAGCTCTGCTAGAAAGTAAACTATCGTACACGACTTTATCGACGTTATTGACGCTGGTTGAAATGGATGGCAAAGTGGAGCAGCAGATAGTTCTGACAGTTGAGTCGCTGCCTCATGTGGCAAAGCGCTCACTTTTTGCAGCCCTGCGGTCGCCTGCGCATGAGTTGCGTATGGTGGCGCTGCAATTGCTGGCCCGCTTGAAGCGCCTACATTTTCTTGACTCTGATACTGGCTCACTTAACGGTCCATGCATTCTTCCGGACGTATGCGTAAGTCTAGAGCTAGCTTGCGAGGACATAGCTGTGGCAACGGAACGCGAAGCGGTGCGCCTGCTGACACGGGTGAAAATATATTGCCAATCAGCTCAGACACCTGTGGTGTATAAGGAGATGGCATTGAATCATTTGCTGGGTCTGTATCATGTCAAGTTTTCTACAATCTGGCCGCACGTCGCAGATGCAGTAGAGTCTGCTGTGCGGCTGCACTTCACCGAGTGCTGGGCTTACATCAGCTCAGAGCTTCTGGTAGCTTCACTCCGACATGATGACGACACGAACGAGAAGCGCAATACCGAGCTGAGCAACAAAAGCGCCGTTGTCGCAGAATTTGAACGTGCGTGCGTGTTGGAACGGGGAACATTTCCTGCATCAAGCGCAACGGATTCTTTGACTCACCATTCGCTGCTTTGGAAGGGACTCACTAAATTTGCTGATCTTGTTGAATCGAAGACGAAATTCATGGTACCGCTCTTTGTCACATTTTTGCGCGACCAATACAGCTCCGTTTACGAAGATGAGCTAGACGCCAAGCGTCGTGACGAGATCGACCAGTCACTTGCCAAGCTCGAAGAGCTCGATGACACCAGTGACTCGATTACTTCTGGATGGCGAAAGCCTGTTGTGTTTCAGGGCTTGACCACAAAAGAAGTACGAGGGAAGTTTGTGGACCAACTGAAACTTTTTTCAGCATTTCAGAATATGAAGGGAGCTTATGCGCAGCAGTTGCTGCATGCTCTCTTCTTCGACCTGCTGATGAAGTCGGATGAGACGATTTCGAAGCTAGCCTTGCAGTGCATTTATGCATTTAGGAACAAAGCGATCGTGTCGTACAAAGTGCAGCTGAACCGATTGGCTGACTCATCTTTGTTTCGCGAAGAACTATCGAGCTTCAATATCAAAGATGGAGAAGGCGTAGTGTTACGTGAACACCGCCCGGAGTTGTTGCCTGTCTTGCTGCGACTTTTGTACGCAAAGTGTGTTAGTAAGAAGGGCCGCAACAACGGTGACACCGTGGCTGCCCGTCGTACTGCTATCCTAGCGTACCTGGCAGCTCTAGAAGCGTCTGATCTAGCAAGCTTTGTGGAATTGGTGGTGAAGGCGTTTGGCGTTACCGTTAAAGGTCTTGAAAGTGGACCGGTAGCAGCTCACGTGACTGCTGGTACTATGCAGCCTACGGTCGCAGTCGCTAACGTGCAACCTTCGCGTATTTTGGGTTTCTTGAATCTGCTAGAGGACCTCATCAATCAGCTTGGTGTGAAGCTGACTGTTTTCGTTCCTCCAATTGCTGACGTTCTGCTGGCGATTCTCCAGGTCAGTGTTGTTTCAAGCAAAGATGGCGATTGCCCATCTGACGACGATCGAAACGAAGAAGCAGCAGTTTGTGCGGCTGGCACGAAGCGCAAGCAAGAAGAGACATTGATGAATGATGACACGCTGGCAACGTCTGCATCAATGAAGAAGCAAATTCGTATGCTCACTTATCGCCGACTTGCGGAGTTGGTTGACACGTTTGACACTCTTGTGCACCTTCAGCCGTGGATAGTGGGTGTGCTGGAGATATCGAACGAGGCGATCAGGCACCTGCCAAATGCAGTCATCGGCGCCGACAAGGCGTCAGCGCTTCTAGAGCTGCTTGTATCGATAAGCTGCGCAGACCGAGCTCGTCAATGGGCTCCTGAACCCCATGTACTTAGCGTCATCTCGTGCTTGACGGCAGGTTTGACGTCGGCTGGTGCGTCGACTGCGTCAACCCGTGGCATATCGCCTGATATCTTGGACTCAATTATTCGGTTCATGGACTCGCTACTTGACGGGGACGAGCGTTTGCTTGCTGAGATGGGCCAAGAGGAGCGATCGGCTGCCTTGAGCGGAGATGCGAAGGTTTTACTGATACCTCACATTCCGTTCGTGCTGGAACATTTTGTGCGCCGTTTCCAGGCCAAGGCTGCACGCCACGCAAGCGACCAGTACGCAGGGTCGTCGCGGAAGGAACTTGCGTTTCTCTGCCGTTTGTCTCACCATTTGGATGCCTCGAAGACAGACTTTTTGATTGCTGCGCACGATCTGTTTCAATTGTTGCTGCCATTTTTACTGCGTAACCATCAGACCTCACCGGATGACAAGGCAAATCTGCTCGTGGTATTGACGCATTTGGTCCCCAAGCTTTCCGAGCCTAAAAAGCATGTGCTCGCTCTTGCGCGGCTGTTAGCTCCCGGGCTAAACGTTATCGCTGATCGAGATCCACGCTTGAAGCTCGTGGAGGTGTTTACCGCCCTAGGTGCAAACTCTGTGCTCAAGGAGATGGCTCCAGTGGCGGAAATGCTTGTTGAGCTGAACGCTTACGATACGAAGCGCATTGAAGAAACGGACTCTGAGCGTCGCCTGATTGCGCTCAACCGCTTGAGCTCGACGCGTTTTGCCGGGTTTCTGCTCGACACTCATTCGTTGGCTCCCTTGGTAGCGCAATGTCTCCAATGTATGCATGACGATGACTATTCGGTGCGTAGTGGAGCACTTGCAGCGCTCACAGCTTTCCTGAGACTAGCCGCTGAAGCTGCCGTGGAACTTGATGAGCTCGCCGATGCTACGAAGTCTGCCGTGCTCAATGCGCTGGAATCTCTTGCCATGCCTTGCATCCGCTCAAGTCTGCGCTCGTCCGATGAGAATACGCGGCGTGGTTTCGTAACGTTGTTAGGATCAGTGGCGGACCAGCACAAAGCGTTCAGGCAGTTAGCATTCGTCCCAGCAGATTTAGCACTGCTGCGCAATCAGGAGGATCCTGAAGCTGATTTCTTTTACAACATCACGCACATCCAAGTACACCGCAAACGCCGTGCGCTCCAGCGTCTTAGCACGCTCATGGATCTCATTGCTGCTAAGACGAAGCAACAAGTGGATCGACATGAGGGCGACGAACCGCCCCAACGGCTGTCAAACTCGACGGTGAATAGTATCGTCTTACCGCTCGTGCTGCATTTTGTCTATGAAGCCCACGCAAAGAGCCAGGAGTCTCTACGGGCTGAGGCCGCAGCATGTGTGGGAAGTGCAGCTGGACTTTTGGGCTGGTCACACTATCTTTCGCTGTTACGCAGACTGCTGAAGTCAATTGATGGGCACGATGAAGCAGAAGGCGCTATCATTATGTCTGTTTGCGCCGTGATTGATCACTACCACTTCGACGCACCCGATACTGCTGCTGCTGCTGGTCAGCGACCAAGATCGTCGTTTGTACCGGACGGGAAGGACCCGTCGGATGTAAAGCCGATTGATGCCGACAGTGAGGATGCAAGTGTCGACGAAGTTCCGAATTCGTCTTCTAAAATTCAAGACAAGCTGGTGGCGCAGGTACTTCCGATGCTTCACATGTACTTGTTCAAAAGTGCTACATCGAAGAGGAGCACTAAAACAAGGGACAACGACGGCGAGTCGTCATTCTCCGCCAACGAAGCAGTATCGATACGTGTACCGCTTGCCCTCGCGATCGTAAAGGTACTGCGTCTACTGCACGTGGGAACGTTCCAGCGAGAGCTACCGAAGTTGTTGGTCAAGTTTGCAAACTTGTTGAAGAGCAAGGATGAAGCTGTGCGAGTTTCGGCTCGCACTACGCTTGTTCGAATAGCTGTTGAACTTGGTGCAAACTTCTTGCTTCCGATCGTAGAGGAACTTCGTCATACTCTGCGCGATGGATACATGGTTCACGTGCTGTCCTTCACCGTGAGTGCGCTGTTGGAGAAACTACCAGAGATTATGCAAGGGGACGGACAGTCTGGACTGTATCTTTGCAAACCACAGTCGTTACTGCTAACTAGAAACCAGACTCAAGAACCGAGTTGTGAGGCTAAGTCTGCCTCGCCTCTGGATGCGTGCATACCGAGCGTTATGGAGATTCTAGTTGCCGAGCTGTTTCAAGGCATGACGACCATTGGCGAGGCAGCGGAGGCAGCTGCTGGTGGTGCGGAGCGCAAAAGAACACAAAAGTCGAAGATGAAAGAGGCGCGCTCAAGTACTGGAAGGAGTCTAGACTCCCTCGAGTTGCTGGCAAGATCATTACCCTTTCTGCCGAATCCGAGCATTCACGACGTAGTGAGTGCACTTGTGAAGCGTTTTCAAGCCACTGATGCCGGTGCTCAAGCTACTGCCGCACTTCAGGAGGCTCTCAAGCGCGTTGCGACGGGCATTTCACAAAATCCATCCGTCGAGTCGTCGTACATGCTCCTGTACACGTACAATATCCTCACCTCGAGTCTCGAGAGTTTGCGTCCTACCACGGAACAAGAAAAAGCGCAAAACGAATCGGATGGCAGCAACACTTCGCTTGCGACCTCGTGGCTTGTATCCGAAAAGGGCGCGGCAGCAACAAAGCTGCTTGCAGCTCGAATAAAGTCGCACGACGTCTTTCGTATCACGATGCAGCATCAGGTCACCGGGTTCGACAAGCTGCGTCAGCAGCAGCAAAGCAAGACGAAGAAGCAAAGACGTGAGGAGATTGCTGCTTTCTTAGCCGAAAGCACGGCACATGTGCGCGAGTTATTGAACTTTGCTGTATTCATGATCTTCTCGCTTCTTCGCAAGAACCGCGGCACCAAGGACCATGGGACCGAAGGCAAAGCGCAATGTGAGGCTCCGTCCGAGCTTGTGAATCCGCTCGTGCCGCTGCTGATGCGCTGCGTTGCTGAATCGAAGAACGACCGCGCTGTCGTGAACGCGCTGAAGTGTCTAGGCTTGCTACTTCCTCGGCAAGAAAAGCTGCCGGCGTTGCAAGCGGCCCGTACAGCCCTTCTCGATCGGCTGTTCAAGATTTTGCAACAGGCAGGAGCGGCCACACACAATGAGATGGTGCAGACGTGTTACCGCACGCTCACGGCACTCCTCAGGCATCAACAAGGATTGGAGCTCGCCCAAGCGAACGGGAGCGCGCCCAAGGATCGTCAAAGCGAGACCCTCCGACTCACGGAATCACAGCTGCGTGTGCTGCTCAGCTTCCTGCGTGCTGACCTCGATGAGCAAGACCATCAGAATGCCACGTTTGCGCTGTTGAAGACCATTGTGAACTCCCGTCTCGTTGTGAGTGAAGTGTACGATGTGATGCTACGTGTTGGCGAGCTGTTGGTTCAGAGCGATAGTCCTGGTGCACGAGTGAATTGCGCTGCTATCTACCAAACCTTCCTGCTCGAGTACCCTCTCGGACACAAGCGACTGTCCCGTCATCTTAAGTTTCTGGTGGACAACTTGAGCTACGGACATGCTACAGGACGCACCGCTGTGCTGGAGACACTGCGCTCTCTTCTTTTGACGCTCCCACAAGAGCTGGTGAACGCCCGCGGCCAATTTTTCTTCTTGCCGCTTGTGCTACGACTGGCCAACGATGAAGCGTCCGAATGCCGCGACCTGGCTCGAACCGTGTTGGGTGCTTTGGTGCGTCGCATGGGCAACAAGGAGCTGAACGAGAGCATTTTGCTTGTGGGCACGTGGTGGGCGCAGGCTTCGAAGTCGGATGCTAAAGATGCAGTAAAGCTGCTAGGGACTGCGGCGCAGGTGACTACGCTGATACTGAAGACTCGGCCCGAGTTTTTTGAACGCAGTGCGCCTCAAGTATTGCTCGCGGCTCGTACAGCGCTTGAGCGTCGTCTACACGAGCTACAGGCAGTCGAAGACAGCGATGAGGTGCGCTGGCAGCCGACGTACCATATGTGCGTGACGGTCACCGCTTTCAGCGACCATCTTGCTGGTCCATACGAAGCGTGGTTGGAAGAAGACAAGCCAACGACGAGCTTTTTGGATGCCGTAGTGCTACCGCTGCTACAGTACCCCCACGCATGGGTGCGTCTTGGTGCCGCCCGGCTACTAACGTCGTACTTGCGTCGCCGCCTAGCAAGTACGCTTGCGTATGCAGCCCCGGTAAAACGTCTGCCGAGGGACGTCGTCGAGCGCTTGTGCAATGGTGCAGCCTACCTGCAGCGCCCTGGTCGTCTGTTTGCTTGGGCCAGTGCGTTTTGCAAGTTGCTGGAAGCCCCGACACTGAGTGATGAAGTGGCAAGCGAAGTGCTCACAGCACTACCGTTCTTGTGTGAAGCACTTGAGACCACTGACATTCCACAGGACGTGACTGCTGCAGTAGCTGCTGACACGGGTGTGACCGAGGAGGAAGATGCCGACCCAACTGTCGAACCTGAAGGAGAGGGCGAGGGCGTCAAGTCAGACGACAGCGCTGCAAGCAAAGCGAACGAAGGCGACGACGACGAGGAGTTGCAGCGTCGGGAAGCGCAAGAAAAGCACGATGAGCAAATGAAGGCCCGTACGCCGATGGGCTGGTTGCTCACTCGACTGTCGTACATGGCTCGTGGCTCGCACTGCAGCAACGAAGTGCAAGTTGTCGTATACAAGGTGTTTGCAGCACTGCTGCACCGCCACGACGCTGCGTTCGCCAAAAAGTACGTGGTGCAACTCATCAACCCGCTGTTCCGCTCAACGAGCAGGCTGGAAGAGCTCCAGATCCAACGAGAGCAAGAATTACTTCAGCTGCAGCGGACTCGCTACAAGGGTCGAGCAAGTGGTGCATCGCTGGCGTCTACGACCCCTTCAGAGAGCGCACTGCTGGCACAAGAGGTGCTGCAGCTGTTGGAGCAAAAGCTAGGAGCGGCGCCATTCTTGGAGGCGTACGCGTTTGTGCAGCGGAAACTGGCCGCCCGTCGCGTTGCACGCAAACTTGAGCGTCGAGCCGAAGCCGTGTCCGACCCTTGTCACGCTGCTCAGCGACGCATGCAGAAGAACGAGCAGAAACGGCGTTCAAAGCAACTGCGCAAGCGCAAACACGCGGTACTGAAAGGGTCGACGTCAGCAGCCGTGCGCCCGACAAAGGTGCTTCGTCCTGGTGCCGAGTAGAACTTGCCATACATTGCTGCTGCTGCTGCTGGTGGCACTTACCGATAGAGACTATTGCATGATCATCACGTATGTTTGACAGGCGTAGAGCCGGAAATTGTACACCACTTCAACATCTCGTGTCAAGTGCTCAGCTCAAACACAAGTTGACATCAAGTGCCATGCACCACTTGGTGACCTGGACCAGGAAACCATTCGTTGACGTGCTCACGTCACGACTAGCTGGGATACCTTGACCGCCATATGGCGCACGGACAAACAGCTGCAGAGGATGAGACCGTTGCTTTGACGTTTGGGCAACTGCATTAGCTTTAGTTTCTTCGGTCCGCGATACGAATCATCTGCATGTCTAGTCCGCTAGCAACGATAGTGTGGAAGAGCGTTATTAGACAATACCAGAACAATAGTTGACAGACCCACCTGCGCAAGTGGTCAGCAGCTACTGCGGAGCTCAGCTCATAGTTGACATAGTCGTGCATCCATAGCTAGATGAAGAACTTCGTGTTGCTCATCACTTGATGTCCCACATCAAGCAAGTTGGTGCTTTACCGACCTGCAGTGCGATGCATGACACTTCTTTGCGTGTTGGACGTCCGTTCGTGATTCGAATGAGCTGGAACAACGCAATGGGCGGAGTGTTGCAATCGCTACAAAGCCATACAGCTGCTGTCGTTTGGTGTGCCACTACGCGGCGTAACGGGAATCGTCTGATTAAGGTGCACTATTGACAAGAGCCAGAGCGACGACATTGTGTTTGATGGTGACGTGAGCAGAGAGCACTGGGCGCCTTCGTTCGAAAAGGGTCCGGGAGCGAGTGCGGGGTCCAGTAACGTGCGTAGGATCCGACTGTAGCTTCGGAACGTCTGGCAAAACAGCCATATCTCGAGTTCGTAGCATGATGGAGCGGACTGGAGCGAAAGCGCAATACCACGTGGAGACTCGGACGTAGCACGTCCTTTTCCCAACACGAGAAGCCGCTGGAAATGGGCTCGTCGACATGTAGACAAGGGAATTCAGCCGTAAGAGCACAAGAGAGAGAGAGAGAGAGAGAGGGAAGAGCTGGAGGTGCTGAGATCGGGATGGTGATGCGACGACGAGATCGATGAGCATGCATAAAAAGGCAAGAAAACAAGAGCCTGCGACTGCAGCTGTACCTCAAGACGCCATGGGTCTATCGTCCGTCCGCCCGAGTACGTGTGATTGAGTGCGTGTTGCTTGCTCCGCCGTAGTCATTAGCTTCCCGCGTCCACTATCCCCAAACGGATTGTATTCCCTGTCGTCCACAGATTCGCACCGACTGTCTTGTCGTACGTACTTCATCGCCTTCGACACGTACTTCATTGTCTTCTCGTTTCGTGCATGGGTGACGTGCACTCACCGCCCGTTGGCCTCGTCTCTACACTTGAAATGCTCAAGCACGATGGGCACAGCGCTAAGCCGTTACAATCGATTGTCGAGTTATCGATAATTAATTGCATCGTCATATGCTAGAGTGGGTTTAATGTACACGGTTGCAGGAACCGGTTCGATTCTACATTTGAACAGATGGAGTTGGTGCGATGGGCCGCATATGCCTGCGATAAAAGATCTGCAAGATGTGGGTCGTCTCTAGCGGGGCATAGCTTCGACACAGGCTGGCCAGGGCCACCAACTTGTAACAATGCAAGGTCCTTACGGGACGACTCGAACGACTACACGATACATGCGTACGGTTCCAGTGCACCATATTGCAGAAGACCACTTATAAGGATAGACTGCCGATTGGCGAGACTATGATCGACATTGATCCCGGATCTTTCTACCTTGTAAACACAACCGTTGATATAAAGTGTGCATCGATCGGGACACGCTCTTACCAGATGACTAGTAAGACCATGTGGTGATATAACACAAGGCTGCGTACTCCCGACGTCACGTACACGTAGCGTGAGGAAGCGCGAGGAAATAAACAGAGCTAGGGAAGCTCTGTTTATGTAAAAAGTAAAGCTGTTTTCATATAGTTAAGTTTCCTCATAAACCATCTTTGTCTTGATCTAGCTATATATTGAACTACAACCTCCTATGTGGGCTTCTTGCTCACCACCCATTGCGCGCGTCCAGCAGCGAATGGTAGTTGGTTTAGTTGATGTAGCGTCTACATCAACCAATAAGTGGAGCACTCAAGAATATCACCCTCGGGGATGAAATTCCGCCAACATTACCTTTTCTCGAGAAATGTTGATCATAAATTATCTGAATAAATCATATTTACAATTGATACATTCGTATCCTTTGATGTAACGAGCTCACCGAGTATTACGTCGGATTGCGATGCAGACTTTCTACTCTGCAGATGGATGTAGCTTCTCGGTCCCCTTAAACCAGTCGACATTATTATACTGTGTGCCAAAGATCTTAAAGGTCTCAACAGCGCGAGTTCCGTCCATAATGCAACCCAATTGAGACTATTTCTTTTTCTCGACAACGTCAATAGTCTTTGATTTGTAGTCACACAAGTCGTCTTACAATTAGGATTGGGGTACAACAGATGGTTTATCCAACCACGATATAAAGAAGTCGATACGCGTAGTGTTCGTATGAGCGCCCGTAACTCGTACGATGCACCCTTAGCCAATTAATGGTGCACAAGTTATTTCTTTAGCATCTTTGTTTTCGGTCTGGCGCACTAAGCGAACTGCGTGATGAATCAACTGCAAGTATTCTATCGCGATGTCCTTTTTTGTAGTGCTTAGGTCCTAGTCTCCATGTTTGCAAGCAGCCTATCAGTGCCTAAATCGATATAGCTTAGATGTGATGTTTGGGATGCATACAAATGATTTAAAGATGACAATGATGGATGCATGGTGTAGCGATGCTGTCGAAGCGCCTCACGAGAGAAAAGCTTATGGTCAAAAATTCCAAAAAACTTCGTGTAGTACGACGACTAAACGACTTAACAAGTTATGGAGTACGGCTTAACGAGTTATATAACTCTTACAGCTACGACCTAACGAGACTACTCGATCACCAAGCCTTAAGTCCTAAATTAAATACTTTACGATTCAGGCATCGTTTGGCACAAGTACCCAAGAGTGTGTACCTAAAGAAAGCTCGTACACTTCTAACAATTTAAGACGTCTAAGCAAGACTTTTAATTGTAATTTTCGTATTTTCACAAATGTTAATTTAGTTTTACGCAAGTTTAAACCCTCTTAAGAACTTACATGTAAGTTTTGGCTCACAACAAAGTGAAAACCTCAATTTTCTTCTGAAGCGGCTAAAACTCCTTTACAATGGTGCTTTGTTCTACCTTGTTTCTGTGAGTGGCATACCACAGGTTACACTTACACATTACGTGTTTGTACCACCAAAGTGTACCACCGTTACACTCTCATCATCAGACTGTTGCTACTATGGATCAATGTTCGTCTTTTTTACATCAAAGACTTTATTAGTTATATTAAGTGGAAATCTTATAGTTGCGTTCAATTCTCAAACTATTTTGACGCCACAGGCGACGATTCACTAAGTATATGCAGTATTTTCGAAAAGACAGTCAACCCTCAAGAGCCACACCGTCGTTCTGGGTGACGAGACACCACTAAGAATGCTCGTACCAATTATTGAACACACTAAATCTCCGAGCCCGTTATCAGAACTAGGTACCTCTAATGCCCCAACAGCGCTACATAACACTCATGTATATGAGCCGATATATTTTACAAAGTGCTCGATGAGCAACCGATTGGTTGATAACCGGTCAAAAGCGAGTACACTCATCCCTTTCTGAAAGATAATCTGTATAAGAGACAACCTCTGTATAAGGGTCACAGTGTCGCCGAACATTTCAAACTGTACAGGAATTTGTACACCGATCTCTTTATAAGCGACTAAGGTATAATACACGAAAAATACTCGCCCATTTGAGGTAGAAACCTTCATTATATGAGTCACTACCCCTACTTCGGATGCTGAAAGAGATATGTGGCATATGATTTGACAGTTGTTCTAGCCGTATATTTGCCTTAAACCTATTCAGCAACGTCATAGAATCACAGACGTGAACTAGGGAAAGACACAGAACATGTCATGATAGGCGAATTTATGAGCCCCATATTACTGATGACGTCATGGCGACCGATACAGAAGACAAAATTCAATAAATTCGTAAGGCATAGATAGGGATAATAAATTTACTTCTCTTAAATACTCTACTACACCACTAATACAACACGTCCATTCAAGAACATCAAGCTCGTGCATTCAATGAGTTCAACGAAGAGAGTATACCTCTCTCTGGATCAGAAGTACGAGGTCTTTTATCACTGCGAAGTACGCCCAAACTCCGCATTTACGAAGTGCAGACTTAAAAGAGCATTCATTTCAGCACATCATCGGTAAATTAATGACGCATCGGCTTTTGGTCATGAAATAAATCGACTTTGAGGGATTTAACCCTAATGTAAAAAGAAACGACTTGTAAAACATCCTGAGTTCGAGGAGAAGCTGCTGAATTCCATTCTCGAGCGCCAGAGTGACGCACATATCGAGAGTTCTGGTACTGAAGAAAGCAGACCGACTGCGAATGAGCAATGAAATCGAACATCAAGATATAAAGCATTTCAAAGGCTGGCTCCAGAGTTTTAAGAAACGGAACAACATCAAAAGCCGTGCTCTGACGGCTGGGAGCGGGAGCTTATGTATAGAGTATGTGCAAGAGGCAAAGTCAGAGATCCGATCACTGATTTAACAATATTCTCCGAGTAACATGTTTAATTTTAATGAGACAGCATTATTTTACGACTTCCCACCGAGCAATACCCTATCCACGGTTCGAAACAACGGCAAGAAGAGAGTAAGTCACGCGTAATAGTTGATTTGTGCTGCAACGCAAGTGGCTCTGAAAATCTGGATCCCATGATCATCGGAATGTTTAAAAAGACACTGTGCTTTAAGCGTGTAAGGATCGAAAAGCGTGGCATCGTATACGCTGCTGGCTCAATTGCCTGGATGACTGTAAT